GTTATTGGATAAGAATTTTAAGAGGAAAGAAGGGAAATTACAATATAATGAGCTCTAGAGTGGTTTTTACATAAAATTCAAGTACTGTAGCAATAGAGTGAGAGGAAAATGAAAAACCAGTGCTAAATTAAAACAGCACAAAGCAATTATCATTAGGGAAGATTTACAGCCCCGTGTTCCTCCATCTCTACAGTAATTCCAAATTTGTGGAATATAGAAACCGCAGTAGTATTTCTATTCAAAGATCCTACCTTTTCAAAAAAGAGAATAACACATCGAAAATGGAAATATGCATGGAAAAACTCCCAAACCATCATTTCATTCATTAGCCATGGCAGTAAATCTAAATTTTCTCACGATAATTAAGATGTTTTTATCTTATACATTAATAGGATATTAGTGAATAAAATAATCCACCACAGATCTACCAGCCAAAAAATGCATCAACGTATCACAATTTTGTCTAAGTAGAGGTAGGTTTCAAAATAATATCTAGACTCTCTGATGCAGCTTATCTGAATACGAGTGTGATGCATACCCTCAAGTGTCAACAGTAGAATTAGTGCGAAGGCAGTGGGAGTTGACTCTTAAAATAAAAGCATATCAAAATTATTTGTCTTACTTTTTAAATGGACATTGTCATCAAGCCAATAACTCCAAAACCACAAAAAGAAAATAAAAAATGTGAATATTTCACTAAAAAACGATTGTTTTGCTAAAAACCAAGTAATAAATATAAAAAGACAATATATATAGGATCTCAACACAATTGCTCCTAATTATAAATATGCCTATTCAAATAAAGCAATAGACATTATCAGATAACATAAAATAAAATTATTTTATTAGAAAAAATTGCAGTTGAAGATAACTTAAGAATAAAATTAAAATTTATTTTGTTAAATGTTTCCATTGTTATGTGTCAGGATAAATGTGGAAAAATAGTCTAAATTTTATCTTTGATATGGGCTTGTAATAAAAAATGACATTTTGAAAACTGATGTAAGTTGATTTGTTCATTATTTAAAGCATCATTTTCTAGGGAAATAAAATTCAGATGCAGAAGTTAGGAGGGTGGTTAGAAGACAGACAGGCACACAGAGAAGTAGAGGAAGGAAAGGAAGAAAGGAGATAGGAAGGGACAGGACAAGTTTTCATGTGATTTGTCAAAGAAAGTTTGATTCTGTATTATATGTACTTCTTTTTTTCCACTGTGTTTCTTCCTTTTTATTTTCTGCCTTCTTTTTCCTTCTACTTCTTTTCTTCCTCTTCTTTTCTTTTTTTTTTCTTTTCCTCTCTCATCAGTCTCATTCATTCTATATAGGAAAAAAGAATAAACCTCTTGATTTAGCATCCAAATGTTTTTTTTTTTTAATCTGTATTTAAGACAACAAATCTAAAGCATTAGTTCCATTGTTTCATTCTCTTCAATCTTAAAACCCATTTGTATAAATCTGTGTGTTCGTATCGGCCATGTTTCACAGTATAGTATTGGCTCAGTAAGATCAACAGATTAGTTAAGAGTTTTGTTTCACAATCCCAAAGAACCTAGACAACAATGAGGACCCTAAGAGAGACATACATGGATCTAATCTACATGGAAAGTAGAAAAAGACAAGATCTCTTGAGTAAATTGGGAGCATGGGGACCTTGAGAGAGAGAATTGAAGAGGAGGGAAAAGGCGGGAATGGGGACAGAGAAAAATGTAGAGCTCAATAAAAATTAAAAAAAAAAATAGTTTTGTTTCACATAATTTCATGACTGAATGGAAATTAGAAAGTCATGTAATGAAAAACTCACTAATATTCCAAACTGTATGTACCCTCATGAAAGAACTGAGTGACTGGCAAGCTGTCATTTCATCTTTGGCATGTTTAAGTGTATTATAGAACTCGCAGTTTCTTGATGATAGCCATTTCAAATTAGGTAATTTTGATTCATAATTCTTCTGTTTTCTAGAACTGATTGTTACGTTCTGTTTGGTAAGGAGTTATATTATTGAAATGATGTTGGCTATCTCATTATTTAAGGACAGTCATTCTACTACTCTTAACTCTCCAGAATTATTAATCCTCTCTGTTCTTTATAATTTTTCTCCGAAGACATGCATTCCATAGTCCTGATTATTTTATTTATATAATTTCATTTGAATTATAAAATGCATTTCCTTGATCACCTTTTGTTGTCTTATTGTTCTAGCTAGAACCTCCAGTACTATATAGAATACATATGGAGAGAGTGGAAACCTTGTCTTGTTCCTGATTTCAGTGTGAATGCTGTGAGTTATCCTCCATTTAGTTTGATGCTGGCTGTCGGCTTGTTGTATATTGCTTTTATTCCATGCTCGCAATTGGCTCCAGCTACTATTTGAAGAATGCATGGACCTGTTTATAAATTTGTTAATTCTAAGGAGCAAATCCGGAAGGCCTTTTCTAAATTTTTTGTATTATAGCCAAAACATTATAGCTTCTAATGTTTTTTTGCATCCATAACAAATTTTAACTATTTAATCTCAGTATCAGTGTTACAGTTTCTTCATTTTATTTATTTATTTATTTATTTATTTATTTATTTATTTATTTTTTCCTGAATCTGAAAACAAATCTAGAATCTTTATTACTTTTCTTTAAACAATTGCCGGGACCGGAATCAAAGACAAATATAAGGCACAGTTTTGCTCGGTTATGTTATCAGATTTGGGGTTTGTTTTCTTGTGGGGATTTTGTCCTTTTTTTTCCTCTTTCTTTCTTTCTTTCTTTCTTTCTTTCTTTCTTTCTTTTTTTTTTTTTACAAATACAAATAAAACATGAAAAACTCTACCTCAAAATAATCTAACAGTTCAACAAAAATCCTTAGCTGTGGTCTAGACATTGACAGGCTACATCACAACTTAAAATCCAATGGCAAAAACAGAGGTTTAGAACTGTTTGGTAATCACATGTCAAAAAAACAAGGTTCTGGAAACACCTTTTATTCAGTTAGCCACACCAGCAGGAACCCAGTGGCAGTTGCCAAAAGGTAATTACTTGGTAATTGCTCCAAAATGAGTTATAAACATTACAGTGTCTTTTCAGCTCATGGTGTCTGTAGTCTATGTATATGGTGATGAAATGATGAGAAGTACTATTAAAATGTTGATAGACATAATTTGAGATAGGAAAGCAAAAAAATGAATAATCTAAAATTTTAATTGAATAAATTTGGTTTATCATAAATAAAAACCTTTTGTGTAGTAAAGACTTCTGATTTTTTTCATAACTACTGTGGATTTTCCTACATACATAGATTAGAGAGATTGTGGAATTGTACAACCATGTAGTCTTCTTTTAACACATAGAATCCTGTGTCAATTATATTCTTCTCTCTGTTTTTTTTCCTGTATATAATATGTCTTTTTAAAAAAAAATCAACAAAACCAAATGCTGAGTATATTAAAGACATACAAATTGCCTAAAACCAGCTGCTGAATATATTGAGGACATGCAGATTGCATATTCAAAAGTCTGTGATGTTACGAAAATCTAAAGAAAATTTTGATTGTGTAAGCATTGAAATTCTCTCTTAACTGTTTTTTTTTTTTGAGTCAAAACCCAGAATGAATGTGTGTGAAACTGAGACACTTGTTGACTGTTAACAAATCATTGCACTTGACAGAATTTTTTTTTTACTGTTTGAAAATATTAATTCCATCATATAACATGAGGAATATTAGGGAAAATGCTAATACATAAAACAGAATGTGAAGTTCTGTGGATGGCGATACATGAGGGAGAAAGATGCAGTTTTCTGGATGTTGATACATGATGTAGAAAGGTGCTGTACTAAGAATGATTGACTTTAGTTCCCAGGAGATTAACAGGCATTTTACCCTCAGTGGGCTTGCTTCTTTATAATATGCAACCTGCTGATGCTCATTAGAACTCTATGTTGATCTCTATATATTTAAATATGAGACAAAATAACTAAACAATAAAGAAAAGTATGAACTCACCTCTGTCCTAAGTAGGTTCTATGTAGAGTGGAAAGCTTGAAAAAACTGGTATTCATTCAGATATTAGAGTCCTGCTTTGTAAGTGAATCAATGATGGCCCTGCCAGAAGGGGAATTTTTCATTTATTGAGTTCATTCTTTTATTTAATTAAATGTACTTATTTATTTTACATTCTAATCCCAGTTTTGCCTCCCTCCTCTCTTTCCATTTCCTCTGCCCACCTCTTCTCCGCCCTTCCCCATACTGTTCTCCTGTCTTTCTGTTCTGAAAGGGACAAGCCTCCCATGGGTATCAACAGAGCATGACATATCAAGTTGTAGTAGGATTAAGCTCCTCCCCTTGTATTAAGGCTGGGGAAGGCAACCAGTATGAAAAATAGGTTCCCAAGAGTCAGCCAAAATGTTAGGGACAGCCCCTTCTTACACTGTTAGGAGTCCTACAAGTAGACCATGCTAAACAACTGTTACATATATGTAGAAGGTGTCTGTTGGTCCTATGCAGGCTCAGTGGTTGTTGATTCAGACTCTGTGAGCTGCTTTGAGTTCAGGGTAGTTGTTTTTGTGAATTTTCTTGAGATGTCAATGACCCCTCTCACTACTATAATCCTTATTCTTACATCAGAAAATATTGGGGGAGATGATTCTTTTGGGGAGGAGTAATTTGAAATATATATTAAAGTTTAAAAAGGTAATGTTTTTGTTTTGTAAATCATCTATGTGAATTATTAACCCACTCATTTGTAAAGCTAACTTTGCATGATATTTAAGCAGTCTTTAAAATTAGAAAGCTAATTTAAAATTTAAAAATTAGTATTTCTGAAATAGCACTACTATATTTTACACAGTTCTCAGTTTCTATGACATATAATTTCACTCCAAATATATGATACATTAATTCAAATAGTTTTATTTTTATGTATCTGAAGAACAACAAGGTCTGTTTATATTCATTTCCATAATATAAAGAAATAATGAACTTATATAAATGTGTTTTTACTTTCTGCTTTCAGGGTTCAAGTTGAATTCTACATGAATGAAAACACATTTAAAGAGAGATTAAAATTGTTTTTCATAAAAAACCAGCGATCAAGTAAGTTAAATTTCCATTACTCATTTTATTCTTTGAATAGGCATCTATCTAAAAATTCCAACAGTGTTATATTTCACAAAAGCATTGTTTGTGTAACAGAATAAAATGAGGAGAATATTTAGTTAGGAGTAAACATAAAAATTGAATAACAACAACTGAAAAAAAAAAAACAGAAGATGCTACATCTACTAGTTGAAAAGTCTATTTACTCTTTTAGGTCTCTAAACCCCACATGAGCCCTGTGTGCCATAGTGAATTCTGAAAAATACAAACATAGTTTAAGTAGAGCACACGTTCAATCTCAGCACTCAGAATGATGAGTCAGAAGGATCAGAAACTCAAAGTCATGCAAGCATAAAGTATGTATTTGGGAGGGGCTCATGAGTCTTATGTCTCCCTGATATGGCAGTTAATGGTTGTTGGGGTTAGGGAGGCCATTTTGTACAATGGTATACTCACTGGGTAATTGTCATGCTCTTGGAAATCCCTGAGTAATATTCATCAACTAACCCCAATTTAATTCAAGGTTTTGAAATGAAAACAAAATGTGTGAAAGTAGGATGTGATTGTGTTGGGGAGTAGAACAGGTGGAGCAAGAGTAAAGGGGAACAAAAGAGCAGCTGGAGTGAGAATGATGATAGTGCATTATATGTTTATACCAAACACTCAAAGAATATTTTTTAAACAATCTTAATTGTCTGGTACCAAAACAGTTGGAGGAAAATTTAGGCTACAGAGTCACTATCAAACTATCTTAATTAGAGAGTGAGAACCTAGCTCAAAGTCTTCCCCTAAACAACAATACCTCACAATTTAATTGACTCATGCTTTCACATGTGAGGGCTGTGTAAGTTATCATTCATCAAGTTTCAAGAAATTAAGTATTCATAATAGGGAATAATTTTCTGAGTTAATAAGGGAATAATTCAATGATTGTCAATTGCTCCTGATGACAATACACATCAAGTGTAGCCTGAAGTTTAAGGATGGATGTAATTCTTCCTATAGAGGAAGAACTTACATAAGAATAGAGTCAGTGTCAGAGGTTAACATTCTGAAGATTCTTATTAATAAATTGGGAACCACTGAAGACTCAGAGTATATAAAATAAGGATCCCTGCTGAACCCGACCTAGGTTAAACTGTGTGTGTGATACTTGCTGCCTTGCACAATCCTAATTGCCTTTAGACTGTTAATAATAACAAAATTGTGGCTTACAATATAAGAAACATAGACAACTTAACTGTACCAGCATAGAGTTAGGGCTGTGAATTTTAACCCATGGATCTCTTTGCACTGATTTAAACTAAATTGTGTGTTAGCAGGTAGCATTCCTACAGAAAATCCTGGTTTGTGAGTGCATATCCATATACTGCCTATAGGAAATACATCAGTAGTCAAACCATACTGGTGAGATATTCTCAATGACAGAGTAGCTTCAATAGTAAAGTTAGAAATAACCAGTGCTTTCCAAACTTTGATTTTAGAGTTTCCAAGGAAACCCTATCTGCTAGTACTACTAAAGGGATTAAATTTTACAAATGAGGGCTTCCTCAATACACTTAATCAATGTTAGGCCAGGCATTGTTTGAATACTCATCTAAGTAAAAAGGAGAGCCATTTTAATAAGACTATAAGCTACGAGATGAAATAAACCCATTTCAACCCTGTGGTGTTTTTGTTTAGAATGCTTTATTACAGCAACTGACCTGAATCTAGAGAAGATGGTAACCTACAAAAAACTTCAGCACTTTAATGAGCAAAACTAGAAACAATTGCACAAATAAAAAAATGTACTGTTAAGGAATGTTATATTTCACACTACAAAAATAAACTGAAAAGATAACATTTCATTCTAGATTCCATCAATTAATGATTATTAAGAGGCCTTTCTTACAATTTCATAAAAGATACATAAAGCAAATTACACTGTTAATTACACAAATGGCCAAGTGTCTGTTAATCAGTTCAGAGAATGTTTACTTAACCTTCTTCATCAAGAATCATGGTCCTTCCAGCTGTGACGTAAGCAGTTTGTATGACATATCCATGATGCTCTGAATTTTCACAAAATTTAAGATTCCACTGGCATGAAGCCTAGTTTTTAAAAAGTTTAATTTGTTCAATTAAAGTATGAGAAAGGTATTTGTCTAGATGTACCTTTGACAACACAAACAGTAATGTCTTTCCTTTGTATATGATACATAATTACTATACAACTTATAATTGTGGAGATGATATATATCTCATAACATATATATGATAGCACAAGTATCATACATAATTATCTATAAACAAATCAACAATATAGACAGTCATAGGATTTATGATGGTGTATGTGGGGGCAGCTCGATTTTTAAGCTAAAGTCAATGCCCAAGCAATGATTAAAGTACTTACAGCTGTGCACTGAGAAACTTGTACCAACCTTGACTGAATGATAACTTTGTAGCTTATGACTTTTAAAACCTGAATCTCCCATCTGTGGAATGCACTGTCATTTGTATTTCATTGATTCTATAACACTCAAATTTTATTTTAGTAGCTGGATGATTAAAATTCAGCTACCAAAAACTTCAAGAAGTTTAGACAATTGCAATATGTGCTTTTTAAATACCTTCTAACTACTTATTGAAAATTGATATTTTGACCTTATGTTTTTCTTTCTCTTTTATGTCCTGAGTTCATATTAAAATAAATTTTGTTATTTGCTTAAAGGTCTAAGAATCCGCTTGTTCAACTTTTCCCTCAAATTGTTAAGCTGTTTATTATACATTATTCGTGTGCTGCTTGAGAAACCTTCACAGGGCAATGATTGGTAAGCTTTCCTGTCTGATCATCACAGTATTTTAATTGTTTTGAATTATTATAATTAGCAGGATGTTATTCACTTTTTAAAGGATGTGAGACATTTTTATGAACTGATCTGATCTTTCGGTAATTCGTGTCTTCCAAGGTTTGTGGGTGCATTATTGTTTAATGATAATCTGAACTCTGTTCCATGTATGTACCAGTCAAAATGCTATGACTATTACTTAAAATGGGCTCATCTTGCTACAGGTTTGAGTGCCTTTTTATTATTGAATCACATATGCCCTATAATAGGCAAGCTTTCCACACACTTTCTGTTACAATGTACTTCTTACCCTTCAATGGAAACACCCAGGAATCTCTCAAAATGGTTTCAGCCTACGAATATTTATTTAGTTAAGTAATATTAATTTATTGATGTATTTAGGGGTTTTTCATTCATAATTCTGTTACTTTGCTTAACATACTTCTACCAAGTCATTTCCTTCCTCTTAGTCTTTGTTCTTTGCAAGAACAGTAGGGAAGATGTCTGATGTGTAATGATATTCATATAAAACTTTTATCTCATTAACCCCCAGGACTCCTGGCCTTCTTAGTTAATTTACAACAATATTGAAAGAAGAAACTAAAACCTGATGACTAACTCCTGTTATAAGTTTGTCTCCTTAAATTTTGACTTAAGATCAAACAAAAATACACAAGTTAGAGAGAAAAATAAGTTTATCAGATATGTAATAATCCAGCATGTTTAGAAAGTGACTTTAATTTAGAATTTATTTAAATTAAAATAAATATTTAAAATTTAAATAATTATATATTTATTTGAATTTTTAAATAAATAAAAATAAATTCAATTTAATTTTGAATTTAATTGGATATTAGATGAGGATTAGTAATTGAATAAGTCAAGTTTGGCTACTGTAGTAGTATGCATGATAATACTTATGAAAATGAATCATGGTTGAATTTCTCTCATGGATCTTTGATCTGTCTGAGTAATATTCCTGTAAATGAGGTTAGAGAGAGGCTCATTAGAACATTCAGTTTTCTCCAGGAATCTTCTGCATATGTAAAAGCTGTTCGGGAGAATCCTGCTATTTTCTAGCAATGAGTTCATTTCATGGTACATATGTTATTTCCTTCAAAGTACAGTTAATGTTACGATATCATTCCTAAATCAAAAGCAGAGGTTTGCTCATATTTGCTGTTTCTGCTGTGGGACCTTCATGACATATCTCATTATACCTATTTTCCAGTGACCATGGGGGACAATGCCTGCCTTTTCCCCATATCCCAAGTATGTTCTACACTCAGATTCTCCACTTGGGGGTCCAGAATTAATCCTAAGATTATCATGTTCCAACCAGCTCCTGCACTCTTCTTCCCTAACATGATGAAGAACAACATTCTCAGTATCCTACCAAGTCATAGCCTTTTCCATTGCTGAATTCCAGCCAAACAATAGCTCAGCCCAACGTTTTTTGAGTTCACCTTAACTTCCAAGTTGAAAGTTTAACTTTCCGGATGAAAACCCCTGAGAACATTTGGTTGTTGATACAGTCAACATCCACTATGATTTCTATTGTTTTCCAACACATTACCTTGCTGCAGGCCATATACATTTTTCAGGACTGCTGCATTAGCCTGCAACTCAGTTTTGCTAATCTACCAATGTTCCCTTTTGTTTTATTCTTGATAGGAGAGTTATTGCCTGCCAAATGTAAGCCTAGTTCCTATTCACCTACTTTGAATGACAAAGTTCCTGCATTACATCCCACTCTCCCTGTGACTTAACCCTGAAGTGCTGGTCCACTGCAACTTTTGACTAGACCTTGGTTCGATTCTTAGGTCATATCAGGCACATATCCAGAGCAGAGCTTCATAGATTTTGACTGATGATACCTCTCTTAGCACTCTTCTTATAAGGTCTCCCAAAACATTTGCTTGTTTTTCTACAGTGCCTTTGTCTCTTTTACATACTGTACATATTTTCCTTGCTCGTTTTACTTTCTGAGTTTTCTGTGGGTATTAGAATAGACACATAGGTCACTGGCTGAATTCTAGAGGTGGGTACAGTGAACACTAGTCATTTTCTAAATAGGTGAGTGAACAGATGTGTAAATGATAGTTTATATTCTAACTCCTGTTTATGTCTCTTCAACCATTTCTAACTCCAGCTGTGGTGTTCTCTGTACAATTACTAGGATGTTCTGTCCCCTCTTTTATGTCGAGACTTTTTAGAAATGTGTTTTCCCTATCTGCGATTTAAAATTCTTTCCTTTAAATTCTTTGAGATCCTGGACCCTCCAGGATATCAGCTCTTTGGCTAATATATAAATATGAAGTCCTTACTTGGCATTATCCAGGTAGTCTAGTTCTACACTGATTTGGGAGGCTTATGTGGTACTGTCTGCAGAATTTCTAGATATTATTCTTAAACACCCTAATGCATTGCTCTTACATTTCCCACTCGTTTCTCTGTCTATCTAGAAGTATGCTGAGATCAAGAGCCATGCCATTTTGTAGGTGTCTCTTCATACTTATCATAAGTCTTAGGAGGTTCTGTTATTAGAATTCTCTTTTAATAGAATTATACCCACAAATATTACCAGTGTTTTTCTGATGAAGAATATTAAGGACCAAGATCTAGATATGTCAATGTATATCAATTTTATTACATGCTTTCATCTTTATGTTGTTATAAAGGATACCCCCTAAAATATTTGTATAAAGTACCAATGATGTTTTTAAAACAACTTGGGAACAGAATGTACATTCGAGAGACCTGAAAATCCTAAAACAGTCCATGAAGGATGCTCAAAAAAGGAAAGCCATTGGTGAATAATTATAGCAGAATAAAATTATATTATTTGGAAACATTAAGATGACAAAGTTTCCTACAATTAACTTCTGTGTCATATTACTAAGAATATTCAGTCTTAATTACAAAGGATATACATTTGAAAAATTAGATTCTCGCAATTAAAAACCATAATAAACTAACTTATGTCTCCAATTCGAGTACACTGTTTTGTTTAGTTCTATTGTCAATGCAGTCTTGGTTAATTAAAAACAGAAATGTTCTTTATGGGTACAGGCTCTATTTTAAAATAATGAGACTAATTTGGCAATGAGATTTATTTAATTACAGTTCTGACCTGATAAGGATGCAGATATTTTGAGCTGCTTTGTTTTATTTTTAAGCTTCTCCCAGGAGTCAAACTGATATGAAACTATTGCGGTATTGACAAACAGAAAGATACGAAAATAGTTTTACTGTGAATCTTTGATATCATGGGTACTGCAAACATTGGAGTATGTGGTGTGTCATTAAGGATTTCAAGTCTGTAGTATAGAAGACTGCTCAGTTTGTTAGTGGCTACATTAGAAGAAGAGCTAGCTGTGTTTCCTCAGAACCATAGAAGCATACATTTCATTTTTATCTAAATCCACACCCTTGTTTTGACTTTTAAAAATATTTAAGTGATTGTAACTGTTATTATTATAGCAGGAGTATTGTTAGTGTTATTGTTAGTAGAGGGAGTAGTAATAAGTGGCAGAGTCAAGTGAAGAAGCGCATTGTGGTGGTTAGTTTTAATTTACAGCACAATCAAGAATGGCCTAGGAAGAAAGTCCCAATAATATTGTAAGCATTTGTAGTGATGTCTGGCTTCTGTTAATTGGACGAGGGTGACCTGCCTATTGTGGGTGGCAACAGGAATTTGATTTTAGTCTTGCACTATACAGGGTGGGCAAAGCCAGCTGTGCACAAGCATGTATCCATTCCTTCTACCCCTGCTCTTGACTGTGGTTGTGACTAGCTGCTTCAATCCCTAATGATTGTGACAAAAATCTTCCCTGGAACTGTGAGTTAAAATAAACTATTTTTCCCTTTAATCTTGTTGGAGCTTCTGGAAAGGAAACTGAGGCACACAGGAAAGTTTCTGGATTTTGAAATTTTTGAATTTGCCCTTAAAATTGATGCTTATATAATATCTGGTGTGATGAAATTTTACAGTTTATTACAACATAATGATAAGAATTATTGTAGGAAGAAATAGAATTGTGGCAATATCTTTTTCTTTTTTTTTTAAAGACAGGATTTCTCTGTATAATTCTGGCTGGTCTAGAGCTCACTCTATAGACCAGGGTGGCATCAAACTCACAGAGATCCTCCTGCTTCTGCTTCCTGAAAGCTGAAATTAAAGACCTGCACTACCAGTGATCAGTGGCAATGTGTTTTCAATATTTGATGAAATGTAGAAATGAATATTATTTAATGCCCTTCCTTTCTTTCCCATGTAGTTATTGTGTAGATCAGACCCTACCAACTGGTATAACATAAAAATAACAGAATTTATTTTTTCTTAAGAAAATGTCTAATACTGATATCCCTAATAAGTTGAAAGCTTTCTCTGTATATAAAACACACACATATAAATCCAAGGCATTATAGCAAAAATATGTAATATCTGCATGCATGAATTAGGACCTTAGAGTACTGGAATTTCATAGAAGTATCTTACGTGAGGATTAGTCATATCATCAGATTTTGGCAGGCCTGAGATGAGTGTCTGGTTTGGTTGGCTTTTTCACATTCTGCTCTGCGTGACTTGGGAAAGAATGAAAAATATTAACAATGAATGAAGACCACTTCTATCATAATCATCATACTGAAAGCCTGTGATGTTTATTTTTTCAAAAAGTATATTAATTACTGCCATGCTTTATTATTGCTTGTATGACTTGGAGTTAAGGATTTTATTTCTAATGTATTCAAAGTTATGTTTCTGAAAAACTTTTCTGGTATTGGAGGCTAGACTCTACTATGCTTCTATATTCTGGTCAGTACTAAATTATGGATGTCCCAGCAATGTAGGCTTAATACTATACCAAGTGCTTAGTTTCTCTTGCATGTTGTGGGTTGTGGAGTTTTTAATTCACTAGCCTGGTTCATGTTCTGCATAGGACAGACTTGTATTGATCAATAATTTTATGAATTTGGAAGAGTACTTTGAGTTTCTCTTGTATTGTTTTCATGATCATGCTTCACATGTTGACTTGATTACTCTCATATGTGTATTAAACTCTTGGGTCTTGTTCTGAATATCCTGCAACGCCCCCCCCCCCCCGGAACTCACTTCAGATGTCAAGGTGGATCTGGCACTTTGAACATTTATTTACTTTCTTATAGCAGAAGCCTATGTGAGTATGCTGTGAAGAGTTGATGCATCTGTATACCATTACTTTTTTGCATTTGACTGTTTCTATCCCGTCATTGTTTGATATGGTTCTTCTTCTAATTTAATAATGCTTAGTACATGTACTTGATCTACTGCATAGTCAATTTAAGCATAAATGATGTGCTTTTACGTTTTTATAATTTTATTTTATTGTTTCATTTCAGTTACTTATATTTGAAACAATAAAATTGTTTCCTATTGATGCTTTGGTGAATGATTCATGTCGATGATTAACAGTCATTGGTCATGAATGCTGTTGTGATTACTACTCTGCCATCCTGATGATCATGATGTTTGGTCGTTGGTTTTTTGATAGATGCCAGTTACTTTCTGCTTATATGTACTACTGTAGTAAATATTACTTGTATATAATTTATTACTTTTCCCCCTCCCTCCACTTTTCTTATCAACAAAATGATGCTGATGTTTTGTCTGTTACTTTTGTATAGCTGTCAATTCCAGATTGATTCTGAAGACAGTTCAGAGATGAGTGAAGAACACCTCAAAGGGGTTGAGTAAGGAAGGAGCAAATCACACACAAAAAATATCAAAGAATTCCATTTCAAGAATTTTAATTTTTATCCTTCCTTCCTTCCTTCCTTCCTTCCTTCCTTCCTTCCTTCCTTCCTTCCTTCCTTCCTTCCTTTCTTTCTTTCTTTCTTTCTTTCTTTCTTTCTTTCTTTCTATTACATCCTGGTCACAGCTTCCTCTCCCTCATCACCTCCCATTCCCTCCCCCTACCGCCACTCTGTCCCCAAATATTTACTCTTCCACAAAATATTGCATATCATGTTGCAATAAGTGTCTCACATGCATTAAGGCTGGGAAAGGCAACCCAGTATGTGGAGTAGCATGGAAATGCTAGTCAAATAGTCAGAGATAGCCCCTGCTCCCACTTTTAGGAGTACCATAAGAGGAAGTGGAGGGCATGAAAAACCAACCCAATCATACAAATTTCCATTTACAGTCTGTCCTGCCTGTGGGATGTGCTAGGATTGGTGCCTAGCCCAATTGTCATCTGAGAGATTTTGTCCAACTACTGATAGAAACAGATACAGACCCATAGCAAAACAATAGGTTGCCCTCGTGGAAAAAGATTGTAGGATCCAGAGGGGTCAAAGACACCATAAGAAAACCTAGAATCCACTAATGCATTCATAGGCGCTCTAATAGACTGGACTGACAATCAAAGAGCCTGTGGGTGATGTAACTAAGCACTATGCATTTTTTTTTTTACAGTTTAAACTTCATTATAAAAAGGTACAATGTGTGGTAGAGGGATTTGACCAAAATTTATTCTAATAAAAACTACAATACCAATTTAAAAATTATTGATGACTAATGGATTAATTTTTTGTAAGTTTTAGAAACTAGTAAGATTTCTAAACAGCCAGATTGCCTTCTCCACAGGGAGAGGTGCTTAGATCAAGTTGTCAGAATGCTAAGATTAAAGTCAAAAGATTCTTTATGTACATGGTGCTGAGGACTGAAGTGCTTGAAAATGCAGAGAAGCGTGTCTCAGAGCAGACACAATAGACTCCACACCACTTTCTATGAAATCTTCAGTTGTAAAATGGACAACAGGGTTTGAGGGGAAATCCAAATTTGGATTGGAGTAATTGAAGATGTCATTTAGCTGGATAGATGTGACATTTTGGAATCCTAGAGCATTATATAGTAATGTTCAACATAGTGACCTTCTGTAGTACTTAAGCTTTTATTTATTTATTTATTTACTTATTTTTGCGGAGATGGGGAGCTTCAAGCAGGGCTACTCTGTGTTGCTTTAGAGTCTGTCCTGGCACTTGCTCTGTAGACCAGGCTGGCCTCAAACTCACAGAGACCCCCCTGCTCCAGCCTCCCAAATAAATACTGTGACGAAAGGCCTGAGCCATCACTGCCCTGCTGTCTTTTAAGCTTTTTAAAGTAGACAAAATTGGAAGAGTTTATGGTTTTTTTTATTATTTTACATAATATAAAAAGAAAATTTCAGTGTTTGGAAATGCATTTAATGCTTTATGAGATTTCTCACTTCCATAACTTCAAAGAGTGGGTTGTTTAAATCACATTGAAGGGTTATTTTTATTTATTGAAAAATGTTCAACTGTTCCTGAGTAGATTTTATTTTTCTCAATGACTCCCAGTTCAGTCAATTGCATGTATAATTTGTGGTTTGTTGACTATGTTATGGTGTTCATCAGAGAGTTCAAACATTTTGTTACTATCAGAAAGAGTAACAGTTAAAGAGGACCCCATAAGAATAGCTATTTCACATAAGAACAACATCTTACATATAGTCTACATTGACCTCAGTCACTATGATTTTTATGTAAGTTAAATATATTACAGAAATGCAAATATAAACTATTAATGTACTCTAGATATGTTAGTTACTGACTTGATTCTGACTATGTTGTTCATTGTACATTATCTAAATCCAAACAATTTTAAAATTAGCAGAGTCTTTAACTCTGTAGAAGAACCTTTGATGACATTTTAGTGGAAAATGGATCAAAGATTATGAGATGTCCCTATCGTGCCATAGCAATCTATCAAATGGTTTGTCTTACTTTCCATTTACTATTAACAGAAATGAAAAAGTAAATTAAAATGTGATGTGTTTTTATTGCAGTAGACATGAATATTAGTAAAAAGGCTGAATCCATGATATTACTCTCATGTTTCTCAAGCTATTTCTACATTTTGTTGTCTTTTATATGCTAATTGCTATTGTTATACTTACAAGTAAAATCAAATTTTTAAAATAAATGGATTTTTTTCACATGAAACAACTGACATTTAATTTTTCTTTCCATAGGTCTCATATATTTTGGGTTAACAGAAGTCTACCTTTATGGGGCTTACAGGTTATGTACAATTTTATTTTATTCCTCTATTTCTGTATTCATTAATCATTCACAGAGAAACACTATTGTGAAGTGAACTATTGGTGTTCAAGTTGAGTTTGCCTTTATGGTTTACCTTAATGACCAACATAGGCAAACATTTTGACTTATTTCTTCTTATATTTTTTGAGTCTTGCATTCTAACTTTCAAGATTTTTCCTTGTAATATGGATTAGACTTCAGAGAGTGTTGGAAAATTAAAATAGGTAAATAACAGAAAAGAAAGCAGTGTTTCAACCCTCCATGTCTCTCAAACTACTTTACATGACTGACTTATTCAGCTCCTTTAATAGCAGTCAAGTAGTACAATTGTGGGTACTTTCATATTCAGGAATGTGGGAGAATCTAAATAAATGAATGTAAATGTTTAAAAGGCCAGTAAAGTCTTAATAAAGTAAAACCATAGGCAAGAGTAAAGTGTGTTTGAATTATATATCAGAGCTCCCTGGAGTCAGCTGCCTAGCCTTATTTTTTGTTTCTATTAGTCTTGGTGTACACAATTGTCTTTGTAAGATCCCATGACTTCCCCTTATATTTATGTGCTATAGGTAATTTTTTTTCACTTATGTTCTTAAAAGTGCAAACTACAAGAAAGATAGAATCACTAACATAGAAAAGATTTGGAGTTTGCAAGGAAAACTTTATGATTCATTGCCTGCATTCAATTTTCCTACAGTTCTATCTAGATCAGGAGTTTTATTACCCTAGAAAGCCATGCTGATTCTTTTCACATAATGTTTTGTAATGAATGGTTTTGAATATGCAACAGGATTATACCACACCTAAAAATTTCTATCTGCATTTCAAGTTTTGCTTAAGTGAATTTAACTACACTGATTTATACTGACTTCTGTTCTATTTTCAATTGGTATGCAAAGATTCCTTCCCAAATACCTTCCCAAATAGTAGATGATCATTAAAATATAATCTTATAGTTGTCATATAAATCTTCTATCATTCTTTAATAAAAATTAAAATTAATTAATATTTTTATGAGTCTTATCATTTCCTAAATTACTTATATTCAATTTAAATTTTATTCTGAGTAATATGTAAAATAGCATGCTGGAATTTTCTAGAGCTCCCAAAACTATATTCTATTAGAAAATAGGATAGATAATCATGATAGAAGGTTTGTGGAGAAAATCAAAATATTCTTAGCTTCCTATTATAAAAATGACGAGGTACATGTATGCATGGACAGATTTACTTGGATTGTTGGCCATTCATCTGTTTTCATTGTGATAATATTTGCTGTTCCTAAAAATTCAAAAATTTCATTTTAGCAGGAAAGAACTTTTAAATCCTCAAGATGTATCATTTCTGAATATAAAGTGTATTTATAAAGTTGTAAACTTTAAATAAACAAGAAGTATAGTTGCTTTTGTATAACCTCCTGTTTTCATATTTCATTCTTCTCTCCGTTTTCAACTAATGAGAAGGCGGTGTACGTATTTCCATGGGAGATTAGTTGCCTAGGATATGAGAGGTCTAGGGTTCAATTTCTCAGCATCACATTGACAGTATACTTGTAATTAGTTCAATTATGTAATAAATCAAACACCGCTGAAGAAAAGTGCCTGGATTTCTCTCTCTGTTTTCCTGCTCCATGTGTCCTGACAGACACAGCAGTGATTGCATATACTTTAGAGTAAGCCAGGAAAGGCTCTTGTCTCAACTGACACAAAACTAACATTTCCAACCAGAAAAGTAAAATTGGTCATGGAACGGATCTGTAACGTCAAAATATCCTGCATGGCTAGAATAACCCATTTATAGTGTATTTAAGGATGTTGACATTACATATCTCCTGAAGTAGATGAAATGATACTTATTTTTAAGCTTGTGTTTGGCTTTCTGAAGGGAAACACTGATTTAAGCAGTGATGTTCAGAAAAGCAATTTGTGTGTTCCTGATCTTTATGTATCTTGCCCATTTTAGTCGGTCTGAATATTTGACTCTCATATTTGCAAAGAATTAACAATGTTCATTAAGAATATGTGAAATTGCTGGACGTGATGGCACATGTCTTTAATCCCAGCACTTGGGAGGCAGAGGCTGGCAGATATCTATTAGTTTAAGGACAGCCTGCCTGGTCAAGAGTGACAGTCAGGGCTGTTACATAGAGAAACCCTGTCTCAAAAAGCAAAATGAAAGAAAGAAAGAAAGAAAGAAAGAAAGAAAGAAAGAAAGAAAGAAAGAAAGAAAGAGAAGGCAGGCAGGAAAGAAGGATAAAGAAACGTGAAATTATGAAAACTAAGGTGTAATACACGAGGTAGCAAAATATTTTGTGCATCTCCTAACCTGCTAATTAAAATTTAAGTAATAGTTCCACTGTTTTGTGTCTGTATGTGTGTGTGTGTGCATGGATTTTCACATATTTGTATACAATTACTAGCACATTGTGAAAGCATATTTTATTTACTTTGCATTTTCTCTTTAAAAACAATTTGTTTTAGGTCTCAGTGGCATTGATCAGTCTATTTGAAACAATACTCCTTGGTTATCTCAGTTACAAGGTAAGATAGTCTAATTAGTTTTCTGCTGTAGAACTCACTGCTAGCATTTACCAAGTTTTTTTCTTTTTATAATTCATACTTGGGGATAAGGTAGGCCCTTCTTAAACCACTTTAATTATTCAGAGCCTCTCTAGTATGTAATAAAAAAAAACTATAGTAATATGGTAGGATTTTCCTTGGTGTCTTAGAAGTACTTCACTAATTCCTTTGTGTTTACTTACCCATTATAGGCATGCTTCTATTGAGTCAGTGGAATGGTGCTCAGTCTTATTGTTCTCAATCTCTTCTCTCAATAAGCTAAAAAATTAGAAAACAATTGTGCCTTTAGGAATTATTTTAATACATTATTTTAATTACTGGAGACGATCTGTTTGGTTAACACATTTTATCAAGTAATTATGAAGTGCTCCTGTTTAATAAACTCTACAATCATGGCTCTTTTCTCGATGGCTTTGCAGTCAAAAACATGGGGTGATGGGAGACATTATGCAAACAAGTACAAAATCAATCCAAAAGCAAGAAGCAGTGTTTGACATGTATAAGTGAATATAATGGGTGCAGGAAAAGAAAGGCTATATCTTATGATTAAAAGAAGCACTTCAGTGATAAGCAGACTCCTGTGACAATGGTTTTAATAAGGCAATGTGAAAAGACAGGATCATTGGAATGGATAAATTAGCAAAGGACTTTATAAGAGAATATCAATATGAAGAGGAAGAATGACAGATGACTACATTTGGTTAAATTATGGATCCCTTGTACGGCAATTGTTTTGAACATCTGGGTAACCCAACTCTAAATAAAACACATCTCACAGTCTATGTCTTTGGTGAGAAATGATACAGTGTGCAGAGATAAATCAATAATGAAGCTGGACCTGGTCATACACCATTGTAATTACAGGTTTGAAGATAAAAATAGGGGGATCCACAAATCAAGGCCAAGCCTAACTATAAGAAGGTATGAAAATAAATTAACAAGCATTAGAATACAAACATTATAAAAAGGTTTAAAGCAAGATTCTAGAAATGTCTAAAGAGGATCAGTATTGCGCAAGTGTATATGAACTATGAAAAATGCCTGAAGTTTCTGAAAGGGGCAGTTAACTCCCCATTCACCTTCAGAAATCCATCTTACTGAAGTACTATTGAAACTGAAATCTGTTTAATCTAGAATGTTGGTTTACTGGGGTAGGAACTTGCTAGGATTGACACAGAGACAGTACTCTAATAATGGAGATTATCTACATTGCCTGAAATGAGAAAATATAGGGAGGATAAAGAATGACAGAAGGAGAAATTTCATGGAAGGTAATGAGAAACCAAACAAGGAAACTGGGATTTAGACACCAACTGGGATAAAGTTCCATTCTCATGAGAGAATATGTAAGATGAGGGGCAATGAAATCACATATATTTACATTACTTAGAATGTACTAACCCATTGATATTCTGTATTGATAGAGGGATAGACTTTTAATAATCTCAGTCTTCTTGCTGAAAATGTGTACTGTAAGTTTGTCCTGATGAACAGATGACTCCTGATTTTCAATTACCTAAACTGCAAAATAGAAATGTGACAATTGTCTTTAAAGTTGTTTAATCTTCAGGTGTGTAATGAATGTTGAATTTGAGGCCTAAGTGACTTACATCTAACAAGTAGGCATGTGGGCCCTTTAGATATATCAGTCACGTCTCTTTCATTTTTGCATGTTTAGTTGAAGAAATATAACATAGCCAAGTATTAATATTCATTTGTGAATATATTTCCTCCAAATTTCAACTACAGGTAAAATGAAAATTATTTTTCTGCCTTGCTAAAAGGAATTCCAGCTTTGATTGAAGAAGTAAATTAAAATATACAAAAAGATGCGGGATAATTTTCATTGAAATTATATGAGAATGACATTCATAATTAATTACTTCCTATCATTGAGAAAATGATAGCAGAATATTATAATTTTTACCAGACTAAGCTTAATGATATATTTTTTCTGACCCCCATAATCTTTAATGGTTTTGCTAGAAGAGAAATAGATGTTAGTGTCCAAAAAGTTACAAAGGAAATGGAAAAGATAAAAACAAGTTTGTGACAGTAGAATAAATTTCTATTAATTATCTTCTATTCCTCTCATAAATTTAGTCAAATATGTGAACTTTTGACCTAGCTAGTACAGTGTTGGATAACTTCTTTGCAATGAATAAATTAAATAATTGCTAATAATTTATGGCCTATAAATAATATTTTAAAATTAGCTTATTTCTACAAGCTAGGATTTTTAAAATTAGAAGATAGACTTGCAAAAGTGATGTTTAACTGCATTATAAGTTCTGTCTATATTTAATAGTGTTTGATACCCAGAGATCTGATATATCAATGTGACTAGACACTAAATATATATACATATATATATAAATAAAATATTGGTATTTGCATTTAATATTAAAAATACAACATTAAACAAGCATTTGAGCCATTGACATCAAACATTCTACAATGAGAATGAATTGAATTTTATTTTATTTATTTATTTATTAAAGACTTCTGTCTCTTCCCCACCGCCGCCTCCCATTTCCCTCCCCCTCCCCCAATCAAGTCCCCCTCACTCAGCCCACAGAGCACTCAGGGTTCCCTGCCCTGTGGGAGGTCCGAGGACCACCCACCTCCTGAATTTTAACAATTTAAAAAGTTCAATGCATCATGGAGACTGAAACCAAAATAAGGAAAATTTTAAAGTATGTGTGGAAATTAGCACAATGAATTAAAAATCCTTGGCATGATGAACATTGTTTTCCATTATGTAGATGTGTAGGTCTGTGCTCACGTAGTGCTTCCATACATGTTCATTACTGCTCGGCAAAACACTCACAACATACAATGAATACCTTCTAAGTCATCAACTTTTATTTATTTTATTTTTATATTTTTTTTTCAAAAAAGAAAACAAACTATCTTTTTTCATTTTACATACCAATCCCAATTAGAACTTCCTCTACTCCTCCGACTCCCTTCACCTTGCTCCCCAATCCACCCCCATCTACTCCTCAGGGAGGGTAAGACACATTGCTTTGTGGAAGGTCCAAGGCCCTCTCTGCTATATCTAGGCTGAACAAGGTAGCCATGCAAAGAGCATGGGTTCCCAAAAAGCCAGTACAAGCAGAAGGGATTAATCCTAATGCTGCTGCCAGAGACCCGCAGTCTTACCCAGTCCTACATATGTCACCCACATTCAGAGGGTCTTGTTTGGTCCTATGCTGTTTTCCTCCCTGTATGGTTGGAGTTGATGAACTCCCATTAGCTCAGGTAAACTGTTTCAGGGAGTATCTCCATCATGGTCTTGACCTCTTTGCTTGTATTCTCTCTCCTCCCACTCTTCTACTAGACTTTGGGAGTTCAGTCCAGTGCTCTACTGCAGGTCTCTGCCTGTTTCTGTCAGTTGTTAGGTGAAGTTTCTATAGTGATATTTAAGATATTCATCAATATATTTACAGGGCAAGGCCAGTTTGGGCACTCTCTTCTCTACTGCTTAGGGTCTTAGCTGGGGTCATCCTTATGGACTCCTGGGAATTTCTCTAGTGCCAAGTTTTTTGCTAGCCCCTTAATGACTCCAACAATCAAAATGAAGTCTGATATTGTTCTTTCAAGGTGTGTGAAGAATTATGTTGGAATTATGATGGGGACTCCATTGAATTTATAGATTTCTTTTGATAGGATTGCTATTTTTTATTATTTTGATCCTTCCTATCCAATTGCATGGGGGATCTTTCCATTTTCTGGTATTTTCTTCAATTTCTTTATTAAAAGATTTAAAGTTCTTGTAAAACAGATGTTTCACTCCTTTGGTTAGTGTTACCCCAAGTTATTTTATGTTATCTGTGCCTATTTTGAAGAACGATGTTTCTATGATTTTTTTCTCAGCTTCTTTATCATTTGTACATAGCGGGGCTAATTAATTTTGAGTTGATCTTTTTTCCTGCCACATCCCTGAAGGTATTTATCAGCTGTAGGAGTTCTCTGGTAGAATTTTTGTCATCACTTAAGTATTCTATCATCTGCTAATAGCAAAAGTTTAATTTCTTCTTTCCAATTTGAATCCCCTTGATGTCCTTTTGTTATCTTACTGCGCTAGCCAGGACATCAAGAACTATGTTAAATAGATATGGAGAGAGGGGACAGCCTTATCTTGTTCCTGATTTTAGTGGAATTGCTTAGCGTTTCTCTCCATTTAATTTGATGCTGGCTGTTGACATGCTGTATATTACTTTTATTTTCTTTCGATATGTTCCTTGTATTCATGATCTTTCCAAGACCTTCATCATGAAGAAGTGTATTTTGTCAAATTCTTTTTCAGGACCTAATGAATATGTGTTTTTCTTTTTTCAGTGTATTTATATGGTGGAGTACATTGATTGATTTTCATATGTTGAACCATCTCTGCATGTCTGGGATAAAGCCAATTTGATCATGAGGGATGATTCTTTTGATATGTTCTTGGATTTTGTTTTCCAGTGTTTTATTGAGTAGTTTTCCATCTATCTTCATGAGTGAGATTCGTCTGTAATTCTCTTTCTTGGTTGTGTCTTTGTGTTGTTTCAGTATCAGGGTAATTGTAGCCTCATAAAAAGAGTTGGGCAATGTTCCATTTGTTTCTATTATGTGAAACACTTTGAGGAATATAAGTATTAAGCTCTTCTTGGAAGTTCTAGTGGAGTTCCACACTGAAACCTTCTGGCCCTGTTTTTTTTTTTTTTTTTTTTTTTTTTTTTTTTTTTTTTTTTTTTTT